CCGCCTGTTAGATGCCCCCCATTGGGAGATTTTGTCTGTGCAGCCTCCAGCACTTGAAGCTGTTCCAAAGAATTCCATCCCCTATTTACCTACTTGGAAATTCCTGTTCCAGTCGAAAGCTCCTCTGGAGGAGAGTTCCTTACCAGGGTCACTCCTGACCCTGTGACAGTCCGACTCAGGATCATTCACTCATCTCCCCCATAGCATGGTGACTGAAAAGTGGGCACCGAGGGAAGATAAAACACGGGCAGTGCGCTCCTGCTGTCCGAGCCCTGGGTCCGTGCTTATCAGCTTATCACCGTGTTCTTTCACTCCCAAGCTCCCTGAAACTGGGTGTTGAGGGTGTGGAGGCTTCTTGGGGAATAGGCCGTGGTCCCTCACAGTTCTTCCCGCCCTGTTCCTGCCCATTGGCAGCCAGGATTACAACCGACCCCCGATATGGGAAGCTTCCTCTTCCTCTACTTCCAAGAAGAGAAGCAACCTCATCCCAGGTCAAGGCTGGGGCGGGGAGAGGGTGGAGCAATTGCCTTTGCCAGAAGAGGAGGAGTTCCCGCCTACATTTCCTCAGCAGCCGACCTGGCACCCACTTCTAGAGTAGAGAACAGAGGCAGGCCTGCCAGAAGACCACAGGAAACGGGGAGCAGAGCTAGACAAGGGCACACAGGCAACCTATAGCATCCCCAACGATAGGACACTAGAGGAGTCCCCTTCCCTCTAGGAACACCTTGAATGGACCTAGTGAGCATCCCTTTGCGCCAACCCTCTATAGGGCCTGATGGCCTTTGCCTCTGGTCTAGCCTTGAAGGCCAGGGGTAGGTCAGCTCTGCGGTGCATGGGCCTCCAATGGCAACACCTGCTCTCGTGTCCAAGCTGTTCCTCTCAGGCTTGCCCTGGCCTGGGCTGGGCTCGCTGGGCGGGTGTGGCAGAGTCCTTAACTCTCTTCCAGGCACTGACAGTGTAGGCAGGTAGAGACAAGCCCAGCTCAGTCAGCAACAAGGTCTGTGTAAAAGGTGGGTAGGAAGAGTGAGGAAAGCACCACAAGACCTAGACATTTGGGGTGGTGAAGAGGACGCACTGGAACCCCCAGGACTGTGTCTAACATTTTGTCACTTAGTGAAAAACTTTGGAATTATCGGTTTATGACGACAACTTTAGATGTCATTGACATGGCTTTCCCACACACACCCCCAAATGACAGTTTAAAACCATGAACTGGGACAACGCAAGTACAAGGGGTTGTTCCTGCCGAGCCAACTCTGTGAAGTAAGGGAGGCTACTACCGAGTCCCTAAGCATATGTTCATTCACAAAAACAGAAGCCAGCAAAGGGAAAGACTTTCGTTTTGAAGTTGTAAGGACACTGGCTTGGCTGACTCACACTACAGCAGATCCCTGGGAGCTAAAATTTAAAGGCCAAACCGTCCACAGGGGCAGCATCGCTGCTGCCTTGCCAGTTTCTGAGATAGCACACTCAGGGCTACTGCTACGGTGGGCCTGTGTCAGCAGTAAGGGGAACACCTAGTCCTGCAAGTGGGGAAAGTTAACTTCTGGTCCTGGCTGCCTCTGATGCCCCTGGGTTTTTGCTGAGTCGCCTCCTCTCCCAGGGCAGCAGTTGGCAGCTGGTGTCTTTAGAAGGAGGGGTGGGGCTTCCTCCAATCCATTTGAGCCCTGAATCATGTGTTCTAAGTAAGGGTGGCTAGAGCAAGGAGCCTCTTCAGATGCTCACTCATTCATTCAATAGATGACACTAGCAGCCGCTATACCCCATCCCGAGAGCTCAGAGGCTACTGGAGTGAGAGAGGTGACCGACCCCAGGAAGATAAGGAGGGTACGGGCAAACCACTGGCCAGGACTTGGGATGGCTAAGACCTCTCACTTGCAACAGGCAGCCAAGCCTTTGCAGGAATTCTTATGGCTGGCAGATCTTTGTGTGTGTGTGTGTGTGTGTGTGTGTGTGTGTGTGTGTGTGTGTGTATGTACAGACCCAAGTTTACAGACATCTCACCCCAGCCATGCATCATAACAGAGTACTGAGTCTGTGTAGGCCATCAGCTTTCAGAAGTCCCTAAAGATATGAGGAATCTAAGAGACAGCAACTGCTGACTCTCAGGAAGTGACATTAGTTAGAAAAAGTGGTAGAGATCACACACACACACACACACCACTGATGTATTTGTTGTTGTTGAGGGTAATTCTTGGTAGCCTGGCACCCAGTTCCCTTTCCTTCAGCTCATATGTGTGACAACAGAAGCGCTGGCTCCAGAATCTCCCTCCCCTTTGTCAGCGGGAGAGGTGGGCACATGACCTGAGCCAGCCAATCAGAATCCCCTTGGTCCCAGTGCAGGGTTGCAGTAGGTGCTTCGAAGCACCTTTTGTCCAGGTGTGAGCATCTGTGTAAACTGGGATCCACACTGATGCTTAGAGGTCCTGAGGCTGCCCTGATTTCTCTATTCTGTTCTCATTCTCCGGGCTGGTATTTGGAGAACGTGGCTGATCCGGAGCAGGGGTGGGGTGGGGTGAGGGGGGGGCTTGTTTTGTTCTCTTGGTGTACTCACAGTTATCTGTGACTGCTGTAGCAGAAGGGAGATGTGTCTGCATTGGGGATGCTGACAGTTTCTTCAGGGTTTCTGCTACTTCTTATAAATGGGCAGGAACCTAGAAATATTACGTTTCCTAAAGAGAGTGACTGTAATTGTTATCTCAATCAATTATTCTTTCAAACTTAGTATAATAACCAACCCACCTCTTAACTCCTTCAATCTTTGTGTTGTCCTTCTTCTAAAACAGACCATTCCTGGAAATTTGAAAAAAGAAAAAAATGATTTTTTTTTGTATGCCCACATTGCCTTAAAATGGAATTGGGGGATGTTGGATTATATGTATTTTAATTATTCTTCATAACTTGTGGGTTTCCATGTTAGCTCTGTATTCAGTATTTGAAAATTTAAACTCTTGATTATTTATTTAGAGTTTTTATTTTATGTATATAGGTGTTTGCCTGCATGTTTGTCTGTACACCATGTGTGTGTCTGGTGCCCACAAAGACCAGAAGAGGGCATCGGGTCCCCCAGGATCAGGTGTCCAGCTGCCATGTGGTGCTGGCAAACAAAGCTGGATCCTCTGGAAAAACAGCCAGTGCTCAAAACCACTGAGATATTTCTCCAGTCCTTCTTGCTCATTTTTAACTTTATAATTTTAAAACTAGAAAAATATGATCAGTGAAATTTTCAAATAATGAAAAAATTATTTTTTAAGTCCATTCTCAGGGGTAACAGCATCAGAGTTTGTTGCTAAACACAGATGTAAAAATATCTTTTACTTTTCAACAAACTGCTTTCTCATTATCTTGCAGCAAGTTGGTGTCTTTTCTCTTGAGTTGCAGATACAGTTTTTACAGATATAATTTTTAAAATGTATTTTATTATTTTTATTTTGTCACACACATGCAGGAGCATAAATGTCAGGGCACACATATGGAGGTCAGAGGGTAATCTCTCTCCTCCCACCATGGGATCTGATGCTCCAAGGAGGCTTGTCAGGTTTGTGTGGCTAGCACACAAACTCACTGAGCCATCTTGCTGGCCAAGTCCATCCTTCTTAAGTATCCAGGTACTTGCTTGCATCAGGAAGTACCTACCGTCTTATATAAGTCAACCCTCTACTTGTGAACTTATTATAGCTTCCATTTTTTTCTGATCACAAACAATACTAATATATGTGGGAGGTGGCAAGAGAGAGACATCTGATTCTGGCAGGCCTAGAACTCTTTATGTAGCCTAGGCTAGCCTCAGACAAACAGTAATCCTCCTGCCTTAGTCTTCTGAGTGCTGGAATTGCAAGTATGAACCATCATAGATTTGCTCCTGACTAAATTTGCGTCTGCCTGGGTTTTAGATTCTGTGTAGATCATTTATAACTGTTTCCTCACAATGTTATGTTGAAGGACAAAAAGGAAACACAGAGCTCTCCAAAAGGAACTGCCTACCCAGTTAAAGGGAAAATATTTCCTGTTGACTCCTGTATGACGTTTGTGTTTTGATTCTATGACGTGGGACACGTGTGCAGCTTGAGACCTTTGCACAGGCAGTGACTGTTTTAGAAGATTAACTTGGTGACTGGGTAAATAAGAAGGATCAATAAATAACATAGACCAACCAAGAGGAAAGCAGATTTCACTAAGCTCTCAGATGAATAGTCCCTGTGCCAAGAGCTTTGTTCATCGAATTCCCACAGTCCTCAGAGGAAGGTGAAAATGTCTCCATTTTATAGATGATAACATTGAGGTTCAGTTAGTTAAACAGCATGCCAAAGCCACTCAGCTAATGAACTGTGGAGCTGAGATGTGACCTCAAGACTAAAAATTCAGAGCTTAGGGTGTTAGCCAAATTTTAGAAAAATTTTAAGAATGAATATTCAAAAATAATATGTACATCTTAGTGCCATCTTGGACAGCAGGTGACTTTTTAGAATCAACAACTCCCAGCTTCCTCCTGTGAACAGGTGTTGGCCAGTGTGGGGTGGGTTGCCCACAATGGGGCAGCTGCTACATAGGTTTGAGACCAGCCTTCAGCAGATTTTAGTGGAAGCCACAGAGCAGAGGTGTTTCAATGGCGTGATGGATGGGAAAAGAAAAAGAACTGGTCAAGACTGGAACTTGGGCACTTCACAGATGGACACTAGAAAAATGAGGCAGGAAACTCAATGGGATAGAGGGGTGGCCAGGCTCACGAAATGCTATCCAGGGTACCAGCAGGTGGGCATCCTTAAAGCTCATCTCCTTTCCAGCCAGTGCAATTGTTTCTAGTCGTGGGAGGGGCATGCAGAGGCAGGGGAGAGAGCGGGAGGTTGGTACCCACAGAGCTGAGTACCCCACCCTCCATCATCCTTTTTGCCCTCTAGGACAAAACCAGATGAGAGCTAGTAAGGGGTGTGCATCCCAGCAGTGGCCACGCCTGCTAGGGCTGAGACCCACAGCTGCAAACCAGGGGTAGGGGCGGGAGAGGCGTGAGGCTTGGCAGTGAGCCAAGAAGGTTTGGCTTCTGGGGAGCAACGGTGACTACAGTAGGCTCCCATGAGCCCCACCCCTCAGTCCTTCCTCGCCCTCCCCCTCAGCAAAGGAAAGCAGTGAAAAACGTGTTTTTATAAATAGCTCCAGCCCCAGCTGATTTGTAAATTCAGTGGGTTTTTTTGTGTCAATGACATCACCCTCCTCCCCATGGCAACCCCCGACGATATCAAAATTGCCAGGCAACGTTGGAGCTGCTCGCGCCCTAAAGGAGCAGGTCGCTGCCTGAGGATCTAATGGAGAAATCCCAAAGTGAGCTAGGGTGCACGGTGGAGGAGGGGCTCGCCGCGGCCGGGGCTGCCGGGCCCTGATCGATCGGCCAGAGGAAGGCGGGAGTGGCTGCTGCTTGCTCCGCAGCCTGGACCAGCCCGGGGCTCCACGCCAGCTCCTCCTGACAGCATCAGCGGATCACAGCAGGTGGGGGGAGGGCACAGCTCGGTTCCTGACGTACCGGGAGCAGCAAGCAGCCATCCAGGTGACTAAGCCTGCCCACTGCCACTGAGTCACACGCCCGCCTTGGCTTTTCTTCCTTCCCCATTTGCATCTGATTATTTGGGCATCTGAAAACTTGGAGGTGTACCTGAGGCCCGCCCCTTCTAACTCTCCCCTCCCTACCTCGGCTGGGAGGAAGATGGAACTCGCTGGGAAGCTGCCACTACCCCCTAAGGACATGGAAGGCACGGAGGGAGCCAGAGGTGCCCAGGGAGAGACCGCAGCTGGCAGAGTACAATAGCAGACATGGTGATCAGGCTGCCCATGTGTCCTCTGAAGGTGCTGGAAGAAAAGGGGAGTCTGGTCCACACCGACTGGAGACCTCTTGTGTTTGCTTTGAGCTCACCTCTCAAGGGGATCTTTCTGTAAACGTGTGGCTTCCAGAGCCGTTGGTATTTGGAGAGCAAGGCTGGATTGGCATAGGCAGGCCTGTGCAGGTAGGTGGCTCTGTACTGGGTGTGGACCCACGTGTGTGAGAGGGTGAGGGTGTGTCACAGTGTGTGCGCCCAGCCAGATCTAAGGACAGTGGCTGGTTAGCAGAGAGCTGGGGATGGGGACTTGACCGCGGTTGATCCTGACCAATGCTGGGCGGGTCTAGTCTTGAATGCATGCTGGGGAAAAGGGACACCAAACACATGGCCTGAGCAGACTGAAGAACACCTGCCTGCTCAGGCAGGCCCAAACCCTTGCTGGGTCCACAGGGCAGAGACATGACCGGATGCCAAGGTAGGAAGTGGTCCTGAGGCCTGGCCAAGTGTAAGAACTAAACTCAGAAGGCTTGGGCCTGCAGGTCCTTTGCTCCATCTTCTTGGCAGCCCTGGGCACTCAGGGAACACCTTCCTACAAAGATCTTGCCACTCTCCCATGCAGAGCTGGTCAGCACCTATGTGTTTCCCTTGCTGAGCTCGTAGATGCCTTCAATGAACAGGCTGCTATCAGCTGGGACCACCCTGAAGCCCCCGGGGTCCTTTTCCAGGCATGCCCCAGTGTGTGTCAGGCAGAGGGGTGTGGGCCCCCTGCCTCCCCCACACAACTGGCAGGCTTTCAGGCACACTGGTGAGTAAGCTGCAGCGGGGAGTGAGGTTGTGCCCACAGGGACAAGATGACACCAACCAGGAACCTTCAGGAGAAAAGAGGCTGACAGAGAAAATCACTGAGGTTTCTCTTTTTCTTTCTCTTTTCTTTTTTGCCTAAAGGTAGAGCAGCTTTCTGGGCTCTAGACAAGCACCAGCCTGCAGTGGGAGAGGGTAAGGCTCAGCTGCCCAGGAGTGCCAAGGTAAGGTCTCCACTGTGGCATCAGGTTCTAGACGTTTGAGCTGGGGATAGGGTGTCCATACATTGAGGCTACTCCTTACCTAGGACCAAAAAAGCTAGCTCCATGTTCACAAAGAAACTGTGAAGTCCTGGGCTAAAGATTCCCAAGGCCGCTTGCCTGCTTGCCACCCCTCTTCAGGTAGATTTTGAAACAGCTCTGTGGAAACTGGCTTCAGCCTCTGAGCTTGTCTCTGCAGTCCCTGAATTTGCTTCCTGGTCATGCTGGACCAAGCCAGGGCCACCAGGACGCCTTACAAGAAGCCCTTCTCACCTGCCCCTCATGTAGTCATTCCACAAATATTTATGGCACGCGTCCTCTGCCTACCGGGTTCCTGTTCCCGATTGGCGCCCTTTCCCTGAACTTAGCTGACTGACTCTGACTCTGAAGGTCAGCATGAGGCCAGGGCCAGAGGCATACCTGGGGGCATGCTAGTGCAACCCATAGTCTTGTTTGGGCTCCTAGCCTCTGCTCTGGGTTCTTGGCTGGTGGGTTCCCTCAGGCCCCAGGAACTCAGGTTCATAAGGCACAAAGCTAGAGACAGCGAGGCTAATGCAGTGTAGCTTCTGATGTGGAATGCCAAGGTCAGAGAATTCTGCATTTCTGCTGGGGGTTAGGGAGTGGGGTCTTTTCCCAAGTGGGTTCTGATGGAAACTGAGTAGTTCCCAGGATGGGCTTAGGCGCTCACCTAGTTAAGATTGAGGACTGGCTTTTGGACTCTGTGGGCAGGTTAACCCACATTTTTTTTTCGGGTGGTAATTTGGGGGAACTCTAATGATGAGGGCACCACAGAGGGGAGCTGGCACCAAGAGCAAACCCTTCCAGGAGTATTTATTTGATTTGGGTGGAAACTCTGAGCCCCTGCAGGGTATATAGGAACTGCATTACCTTTCTGGTGACCCCGCCCCCTCCACATATACACTGAGAGCATTTGGGATTTTCCAAGCACAGGGAAGGCACAGGCCATAGGACCTCAGTTAGGAGGAGACTATAGGATGTTCTACACCTGGTTCCAGGATGAGGGAAATTACCTGGCTCTGGAAGTGCTTCTTGCTTCCTCCCAGAAGGTGATGCTTAACCTTGGGAGCCTTCGGGTCTGCAGAGCTGAGCAGATGCCAGTGCCCAGCTGGGGACAGAGTGGCAGATGCTATCAAGTACCCAAGCAAATGGTGGACCCTCGGGGAGGCAGCTGGCTTGGCCAGAAAGAAGCCTCAGGTAGAAGCCAGGCTATCGGCAGATAGAGAGACTGCTGGGGCTTGGGGGTGGGGTTCAGTAAAGACTCTGAGCTGGCTTCTGACCGTACCTATCTCTAGGGGAGATTCTCTGCACAGAGGACTGGCAGAGACACCCGAGAGATGAGCCAAGATCCTAGAAGGTGGCATTCTGGACCCTCCTAGGCCAGTTCCTCCAGTGACCTGTGTCTCCCTTGAAGAGGCAGACAGGACTCCTGAGAGACCTGTGGCTGGAAGCAGAGAGCTCTTCCTAGTGGCTGCATCCAGACTCAAAGTGGAAAGACCCAGCAGTAGAGCAAATGGTCAGACCTGGGCAGTACTGGGGCCCTACAAACCTTATTATCAGTCATTTGTAGTCAGCCTTGAGAAAAGAGCTCATTTCTGTGAGTCTTCGGGTATAAATGGGCTAGCTAGCAGCTTGGAGAAGAACATAGGAAATGGAAATTCCTTAACCAAGGTTGGCCTTTCTGTGCTATGTGCATGGACCCCTCCCACACACACTCCACCTCCATTATAGCTTGGACTCTGGGTCCAGGAAATGATAAGCAGAGAATTGGGACCAGTGAGATGAAGGAGATGAGGCTGTGGTGATCAGGCAGGAGCCAGGATAGCACCCAGCACAGGCAAAGAACAAAGATCAGCGGGACATGAGTACCCGAGATGAGCAGTAATATACCGGAGGGTCTTGAGGACAGTCAGGGAGATTCCTTTTGTGCAAGGGCAATGGCAGCCACGCTTGTCTTTTCCGGTATCTCATCTATTGTGTGCTCCTACAGCATAGCATAAGTAATTCGTACACAATGTGTTTTATTGGTACCACAGTTCTAGGGTCTGGGAAGTCCATGGTCAAAGGGCCCACATTTGGCAAAAGCCTTTGTTCGATATTAATCCACTCATGAGGGTGGGACCCTGGTGACCCAAATACTTGTCAACCCTGTTGCTTTGGAGGTTGCCAGTAGACTGTGGCACCTGGCAGGCTGCAAGGTCCGGACAGTGCTTGCCCTTGCTCACTGACTTGCATCTAGTGATTGTGTGGCTACTAAGTACCAAATCCATTTGGCTGGAAGAGGGAGTGGGGAAGATAAATGGGACAGAGCTCTGAGCCTGGGGAAGTTTGCATGCAGTAGAGGGGTGAAGAAGGGAGCTTGGGGTCAAGGCTACCAGAAACAGCTGAGCCACAGAGCCAGGTTATAACTTGATGGCTTTGCCCTTATGCCCATGCCTCTGCTGCCCCGCATTCTCATCCCTGAAGATGTCACCCATGACTTATTCATTCGAAATACTTTATGAATTTGAGCCAGTACTGAACTAGAACTTTATAAAGTACCCCCTACCAAAAAAAGAAAAAAAAAAAAAGCCTTATGTTATGAGTGGAAACTGCAGGTGGTAGCAACTCTTACCTCTAGGTCTGGGCAAATAGTGTTCAGGGATAAGTCAGCCGGACCTGGGACAGTGGTATCACTGTGCAGAGCAGAGTCAGGAACATGTGTCAGGCCTCATTGCCACTTCTGGTAACTTGGATAAATTATTTCATGCCTCTCCATTTCAGTTTCCTCTCCTAACCCACAAAGATAATTAGCACTCCGTGGGCTAGGGCTGTTGAGCGGGTAACCACGATGCTTTGGAAGCTGCTGAGACCATCAGAGGGGCAAGGTGCTGGCAGGAAGAGACCCACCTTATTTAGGGGACCCAGGAGAGGCTTGCTGGGTGACTGTGGAAGACCCTCCCCCAGAGAAGCCAAGCTATCACAATACTGATGGATCCAGGCCCCAGAGAGCTAGAGAGAATAGCAATACCAGATCCATTTGCCCCATAGAGCATATTGTGTGCTTATGCTCTTTACAGGTCTCCAGGCTATTGATAACGGTTCCTTCTAAGGTCCAAAGTCGAGGGTCGTGAGGATTTGGAGTGGGTTATACTCGTGGAAGGGACGGAGAGGCAAAGTGACCTGGTGCCACTCCTCTCTGGCCTGACATCTTTCCTCACAGTGGTGGCTGCAGCTCTTGAAAAGCTGTTTACTAACTGTCCCCACCTGAAGGACAACGTTTGGAAGGCTGCATGCAGACAGCACCACTCTGACGAGTGACTTGGGGATGCTCAATCCCAAAGACTTTTTAAACTTTTCCTACTAAATGGTAGTCCAGCCTAGTAATTCAGGAACTGTAAACCCCCTGTTCTGACTTGACCTAGAAACAAAGGCAGACCCAGAATATGACAGGCTTTTGTAAGCTGGGAGAAATCATATAAGTTTCCTCTCTGGACAAGAGGCCACAGGGCCTCAACCCCAGCAAAGGAACTCTCATACTGGTCAGTAATGTCTACAAAAGCTCGTTATGACATTGTTGCCATACAGAGACCCAAGTATTTACAGAGGGACGCTGATGACCATTTTTGGGCAACTGGAACTTCTCTGGGGATTCTGCTAAAGTCCTGTTTAATCAGTAAATCAGACATTGCTGTCCTGGGATGCTCTGCTTGTGTGGCCATTTGTGTCTATATCCTAGCCACTCCCCCCTCACCCCCCCACCCCTCTGGCTAAGGAAGAAGCATCATGGCTGGGTTTTTCCTCCTCAGTGCAGGTTTCCCAGAGCTTGGAAAGGCTTCCCTGAGTGCTTAGAAGAGGAAGCACAGAAACCTTAACCTCAAGTCAGCTATGCATTGCTGTTCCAGCCTCTGATCTCGGTAGAGCAGGGGCCCAGCCTCCTCTCCCCTAGGGCAAATAGCAACAAACCAGTCACCTTGCTGAAGGCTGCCTGCATGGCACCAAGACTCCCAAAAGCCAAGCAACAGCAGAGTTAAAACCGGGAGGACTGGTCCTGTAGTTTGGTTTCCTGGCCTGGAGCATCTCCGGCTCCATTTGCTTTCCTTTGACTTCAAATGAGGCATCATAAGGAATTGTACAAGAAAGCCACAGGGGAGGAAAGGACTATCCAAATGAGCTGACCCTCTTAGAGGCTGCAGCACTTTCCAGACAAAGGTGGTTCTCTGACAATGTTTAATCCAACTCTCATTGACTTATAGAGGAAAGCAGGCTCCGAGAGGAGGTGGGCCCTGAGGTCACACAGGTAACTAGAAGTCCTGCCTCCCTTGACCAGCAGCAGTCAAGAATGGCTCATAGCTCAACCATTGAGAGAGGTGGTCCGGTCTGACAGTGTGAGGCTGGACAGGTCCCTATGCATCCTCTCAGCATGCTGTCCTCACAGGGCTTGTGCTCTGCCAACTTACCCTGCATTCTGCTCAACATGGGGCCTCAGTCTGGTCTGTGCTTATTAACCAAGTATTTCCCCAAGGGCAGGCATCATTCCTGGCACTAGGCTACTAGTCAATAAACAGATCTAATTAATTTGTAAATGGATTGACTCAAGTTCCGTGTGTCCCAGGTAGTATCACGGCCGAGAATGCCTTGGACCAAGAAGGGGGCAATGATCAGAGTATCTGGAAGTGAGGGAATATGGGCAAAGGGGAGAGAAAGCATAGAGGGAGGGGTATCTCCAGCAAGGAGTGTGTGTGTGTGTGTGTGTGTGTGTGTGATATATTGGTGCGCTCAAATGCATGGACCATGAGGAAGCCAGAGGTTTATATTAGTGTCTTCCTCAATTACTTCTCTACATTATTATTTTTTTTAGAGATTTAGTTCCATATGTAGTGTGTGGGTGCTGTGTGTGTGTGTGTGTGTGTGTGTGTACATGTCCACGGAGGCCAGAGGGTGTTGGATCCTCTGGAGTTGGACTT